AGCTTGAATACCAAAAAGAACACTTCTAATGAGCTGTAACATGCCTGCATAAGATAGATGTCTAGCAGACCAATTATCAATTCTAGCAGTCACTTTCTCAATCAAAGGCCTACACTAAGCAATGGTTAACTTCTTAGAAGATAAAGGAACACCAAGATACTTGAATGGAAGATTGCCTCTGCTCATCCCAAGAAAAGACTGCAAGTTATCTTTTCATGTTTCCAGTAAACCACCAAAATACACCTCACTTTTGCTGAGATTAGCAAACAAACCAGAGGCATTATAAAACTTCTTAAAGGCATTCAAAAGAAGCTGGATAGAGCCAGCATCAGCTCTAGCAAACATCAACAAATCATCTGCAAACATCATATGAGTGGTTCCAAGCTTTTCACATATAGGGTGAAAATTGAAATCAGGAACATGAGTCATTTATTTCAAGCACCTAGAAAGATACTCCATACAAAGAGCAAAAAGAAAAGGAGACATAGGATCACCTTGTCTCAAACCTTTTTAGGCAGGGAAAGGCTTAGAGGGAAAACCATTTACCATTAAAGAATAAGAGAAAGAGGAAACACAAGCCATAATCCAACCAACCACCTTTTGAGGGAAACTAGTTTCCTCAAGAACAGTCTTAAGAAAGCTCTATTCAACTGAATCATAAGCTTTCCTCAAATCAATCTTGAGCATGCATCTAGGAGTGGTAAATTTGTTAGTGTAGCCTTTAAAAAGCTCAGTAGCAAGAAGGATATTATCCCCAATATGCTTCCCAGGGATAAAGCTAGCTTAGGATTCACTAACAACATATCTCACAGCCTGAGCAATCCTATTTGTGAGAACTTTAGAGATCAACTTGTAAACCATAGTGCAGCAGGCAATAGGTCTGTATTCTTTGACATAAGAAGGATGTTGGACTTTAGGAACCAAAGTTACAGTAGTGCAACTCCACTGCTTAGCAATAATACCAGTTTGAAAGAACTGAGAAACAGCAGTATAGATGTCATGCTTAATAATATGCCAAACCTTATTAAAAAAGATAGCATTAAAGCCATCAATACCAGGGGCTTTGTCATTACCAATACTAGACAGAGCAGCATTAATTTTAGAGTGAGTAACCTCAGCAGACAGGATATCCATAGTAGTTTTTTCCAACTGTTTACCAACTCTCATAGTTTGGATATCAACAACAAGCAATGAGGGAGCTTTAGAACCCAGTAGAACCTTATAAAAGCCAACAATCTCACTCTCCACTAAGATAGGATCCTTCAACAGAACATCAGAATCAGTAAAAATAGAATCAATTCTATTACTACTTTGTCTTTGCTTCATAACAGAAAAGAAGTAGTGAGAGCTGGCATCTCCTAACTTGATCCAATCAACTCTAGCTTTCTGCTTATAGATATTCTCCTGAATATTCATCCAATACTTAACTTGTTCAATAGCAGCAGCTTCTTATAAATGCAGATTCACATTGGCAATATCAACAGCAAGTTGTCCTTGGATATAAGTTAAGGCAGAATTAGCTTGATCCACTCTATCAGCAATGTTTGCAAAATGTTTGGTGTTTAAGCTCTTAAGACCCTGCTTGATAGTTTTCAAATTCTGCCAAACATCAGTCATAGCATCATCCTTAGACACCTTTTTCCAGCCAGCTTCAACAACGGAGCAGAAATCCTTGTGATCAGCAAGGCAATTCAAGAATCTGAAAGGCCTTCCCTTTCCAGGGATATGAGAACAAATCTCCACCAAAACAGGACAATGATCAGAGAGCAAAGGAGGGAGATAAATGGCCTCAGCAGAACTATAACTACACATCCAGGCTTGATTGACCAAGCCTCTATAAATTCTAGTAGCAATTCTATCATCACCATGGCCTTTGATATTCCAAGAATAGAAAGAACCCTTACTCTTAATTTCACATAAATTCAGATTCTCAATACATTCTTTAAAATGCTTCACCTCATAATCAGTAATAGGATTACCATTAAACCTATCACCATCATTAAGAACAGAATTGAAGTCACCAAAAGAAGCCAAGAATCAGCAGCCACAATAATGTTGCTAATACCAGCCCAAAGAGGGACCCTATCATGCATAGAGTCAAGACCATAGACAAAAGTAATAAGAAAATGGTGTTGTAAGTCTTTAGAACAAATGTCAACATGAATAAACTGCTCATGGGAGGAGATAATAGTCACATTCACCTTGTCCTATAACCAACCAATCCAAATTCTACCTCTATGAGAATGATCATAATTACAAAACCAAGACCAAGCTTTGACAAATTTCTTCTGTAACTTGACACTATTCTTCAGCTTCACCTTAGTTTCTAGGATACCAACAACATCAACAAAGTACTCAGCTAGTAACTTCTTAAAATAAGCTACTTTATTGGGGTCATTAAGACCCCTAATATTCCAAAAGACAACAATCCTCCTCCCAGAGGGTGATTACCATCACCCCCGATAGGATCAGTGTGAGTATCATCAAACAAAGCAGAATAAGGATTAAAACTAGATAAAACTGGCATAGTGTGGGAAATACTATGACTTTTATGCTTCCTTCCAACAATTCTCCAATCATAATCAGAATTAGCATGTTGTGAGGTAGGAGCAGAAGTGATAATAGCAGCACCATGGACTGTTTCATTCACACTAGCATTAGAAACATGAACATTAGTAGTAGGAGCAAGAACATAAGCTGAATGTTTAGGAACCCAGGCCTTAGCCTGTTCCCTGGCACCAGGTTGTATCTTCTGAGCCTGAGTCTTAGGCTTAGCAGGTACACTACAGTCATGACCAACTCTATTACACTTCTTGCATAAAGGAGGAGCCATTCAAAGAGAAGCTTCTATTGAACAAGAATGTCATCTGCACTCTCAACCCAAATGCTCTTAGGCAATGGCTTAGTAATATCAACTTCAACAAGCAATCTAGCAAAGGTAACCCTTAGTTTCTTAGAAGTACATTCATCGGCATACAGAGGCACCCTAATAACACTACCAATTCTACTCAAAGTATCAACCCCCAGCAGTTGAGAAGGAGATTAGGAAGTCTCACCCATAGAGGAACAGTTCTGAGAACCTCAGAATAAAAGTCAAACTTATCACTCCAAGGTTTAACAATAACAGCTTTACCATAAAACATATGTGGACTAGAATTTAAAAAAGTATTCATATCATCACATTTTTGCATTTTAATCAAGAAGTAACCATCATCATGCCAAAAGATATCAGGTTTAGCAATAGAATTCGAATTCTAAGAAATATATCTATGAACATCAACAATTGTAGGGTAGTAACCAATAACATAGAAAACAACTGAGGTTTTCCATTAAAGATTACCTTCTTGCAGTTCAGCACTCTGCAGCTGAGCAATAGATTTCCCATCCTTGAGAACAGGAGGAACAAAGGACAGAGAATATCCTTTGGAAGTGAGTTTGGGGCTAGACAAGGGATTAACTCTCTAACGTGCTTCAGGAACCCCAGGAAAACCACCAGCATTCTCAGGAACAATCGGATCATCAATAGAAACAGAATTAGATCCAGTGTTCAATGGAACAGTGACTCGAGGAACTTAACAGTTGATTGAACTAGATCTGGAGCAATATCTCTAAAACTAAGGTTATTACCAGACATAGGAACATCCGAATTGCTAGTAACACCATTCAATTGAGTTGGATTCTCCTTATCAGCTCCAGTAACCAATGGAACAGTAACCAGAGAAACCTTAGTTACTGTTTCATTAGATTTCAATAGAAAACTAGGCAAAATAAATTGATGATGCAATGCAAGGGCTGTAAGTTCAGCTCTAGTAATCTTACCAGCAGCAGAAGAAGGATTCACTAGATGAGGGGGAGGTGTAATCAGTTCATCCAAATAAGACTCCTTAGGAATTGAAGAAACACTTGCAGAAAAACATTCAGCATTTAGCTGATTCAAACCAGAGTTCAATGAAGTCGATGATGCTAAGTTTGAGGGTTGAGGAATTGGAGTTGCATGCTTCTTCTTCTTTACCATAATTAATCAAACCAAGTGAAAAAATCAGCTCAGATAATCTCCATGGGAGAGAGAAAAGTCAAGAAAATTCAACCAATGTGTTTGACTTTCATTTGATTCAAAAAGCCTTGTTTAATGTATTTTACTTTTTTTTTTCTTTTTGGTAAAAGAGATTTTATTACCAAAGGAGAACAATATATAACAAACAAAGTCACTGCCCACAAAGCTAAGCAGACACACCACAAGACACCACAAGACCAAAAAGGCCCACACACACCAAAACAGTTCCTAGAACACCCCCAGTCACCTTCTAGGAAGGGTTCTAGGAAAGACCAAGAACAACTACTGGACTTAGACACCTGGGCACCTTATAGGAAGGGTTCCAGGACCAGGACCAGGCAAACAACCCTAAAAACAACCAATTGCTAGCCAGAAACACCAGCAGAAGAAAACCTGCCAGCACAGCCTGCAACTGTAACTAGAACACAGCCAGCTAGCAAAACCCAGGAAAACAAACCTAAGAAAAATAAAGTAAATATCTATCAAAACTACTACATCTGCAAGTAACTAGGAAGGTAATCTCTTTAACCAAATCAGTAACTCGTTTACAGTTCCTTGTAAACATTAAAACATTCCTCTGAAGCCAGACATTATAGATAGTTTTAGAAAATCACATCACAATTAGCCTGTTCTTGGCATCAGTTTTCCTAAAACATTTTGCAATCCAATGCAGTTCATCAGCAAAACTCAGCACAAGTCTACTAAATCCTAAAACCTGTAGCATTGAAGACCAGACCACCTTTAAATAATTGTAGTCAAAGAACAAATGAGTTACAGTTTCATTAGCACCAGCACAGAAAAAGCAACAGGGGTCACAGGAAATCTTCCAGACTAAAATTCTATCCTTGGTGACCAGTCTATCCAAAATAGCAAGCCAAGTGATAAAAATACTCTTTGGTGAAGCTTGATTATTGCAAATAACTCTCTTCCAGGGAACTTTTGACCCTTAAAGCTTAATGATAATGTAAAGCTTTTTAATCTGCATCTTGCCATTGACAGTAACATTATCCCAACCTCCAATATCATTCATAATATCTCTAGAAGCAAGGATCTTTTTCAAAATCCATGAAGCTTTTTAAGGAATAGGAGCAGTCCAAAACATCTTGCCAGCAAAATAATAAATGTGAACCCATTTCACCCAAAGGTTATCAGATTTGTTAGCAAGGTCCCAAAGCACCTTGGTAACAGCTGCTTTATTCCAATCTTCCAAGGAAATCAAGTTCCAACCACCATAAGACTAGGGAAGGCACATAAATTTCCAAGCAACAAGAGCTTTCTTTGTGGGGTTACCTTTTCCAGTCCACAAAAATCATCTAAATTGGATTCCGTATCTCTAATGATTTTCTTTTGGTGGAATGAAAATTTGAGCCCAAAAGGCTTGAACACCAAAGAGAACACTTTTGACCAATTGTAATCTACCAGCATAAGGAAGATGCTTCGCATCCCAGGTGTCAATTATGCTTGTAACTCTTTCAATCAAGGGAATACATTTAGTGAGCTTTTTAGAAGAGAGGGGAACACCCAAGTACCTAAAAGGAAGAGTACCATTAGCCATTCCAAGAACCTGCTGGAGCTCACATCTTTCATTATCCAAAATGCCCTTAAAGTAGGCATCACTTTTATCAAAATTTGCAGACAAACCAGAAGCAACAAAAAACTTCTGAAAAGCCTCAAAAAGAATTTTAACAAATCCCAAATCAATTCTAGTAAAAAGCAATAGATCATTTGCAAACATTAAGTGAGTAATCCCAAGTTTCTCTCACCTAGGATGGAAGATGGAAGTTAAAATCTGGATCCTTAGCCATATTCTGCAAACATCTTGACAAATACTCCATACACAAAGCAAAGAGAAAAGGGGACATAGGATTACCTTGCTTCAACCCTTTCTTTGGTTGAAAAAGAGCAGAAGGATACCATTGATCATAACTGAGTAAGAAACATAAGTCATACAGCCCATAATCCATGTTATGACCTTGTTAGGAAATCCCAATTCACACAGCATAGTCTTAAGGAAACTGCACTCAACATAGTCATAAGCTTTCCTAAGATCAATTTTCAACATACATCTAGGGGTAAAAAATTTGTGAGCATAGCCTTTGATCAATTCTGTAGCAAGTAAGATGTTATCCCCAATGTGCTTACCAGGAATAAACCCAGCCTGATCATTATTAACAACAGAACCACAACCCTTGCCAATCTAGCAGTGATGACCTTAGAGATCAATTTGTAAACAAGAGTACAACAAGCAATATGCCTATATTCGTTAACATAGGAAGGATTCTAAACCTTTGAAACTAGAGTAAGGGTAGTACAACTCCAAGATTTCTCTAGCACACCAGTTTCAAAGAAATCTAGAATAGCTCTATAAAATCAGATTTCACATAATTCCAGGCTTATTTAAAGAAAAAAGCATTGAAACCATCAATACCAGGAGCTTTGTCATCCCTAATATTGGAAAGAGGTTGATCAATTTCATCATGAGAGATAGGGGCAAAGAGATTATCAATATCATTAGAAGAAAGTTGTTTCCCAGCTCTTACAACAGCAACACCAACAACTGGCAGAGTACTAGCAGCAGAACCTAACAGATTCTGATAGAAGCTAATAATTTCAGCTTGAACTAAATCAGGATCCTTTAGCAGAACATCATTAGCAGTATAGATGGAGTCAATTCTATTCCTATTCTGCCTTTGTTTCACGATATAAAAGAAATAGTGGGTGTTAGAATCCCCAAGCTTGATCCAGTCAACTCTTGACTTTTGTTTTAGAATGCTTTCATAAGTATCCATCCAATACTTTACTTTCTCAATTCCAGTCGTCTCTTGATTCTACAAAGAAATATTAGTACAGTCCTAAGCTAACTGGTTTTTTATTTCAACCAGATGAGTCCTAGCAGCTTCCAATTTGTCTATAACCTTAGAAAAATGATGAGTATTCAAGCTTTTAAGGCCAGTTTTAACATATTTCAATTTCTTCAAGACTTGTAACATATAGTTACCAGTTACACTAACATTCTAATGAGAAGACACAACCTCCTGAAAATCCTTATGAGAGGCAAGACAGTTCAAAAATCTAAAAGGTTTACCTTTCCCAGCAACATCATTAACAAACTCTATCATAACAGGACAGTGAGCAGAAAGAGAAGGAGTAAGATAGATGGCCTCAGTTTGACCATAAGCCAATATCCAAGCTTCATTTACCAAAACCCTATCAATTCTTGTAGCAATCCTATCAATACCATGACCCTTATTATTCCAAGAGTAGAAGGAGCCCTTACTCTTAATTTCAATAAGCCCCAAGTCATGGACAAAATCCTGGAAATACCTAACCTCATAGTTAGTAACTGGGTTCTTATTTAGCCTATCTTGAGAAGATAACACAAAATTGAAATCACTAATACAGAGCCAAGGTAATTGAATATACCTAAACCTTTGAAATCAGTCCACATAGGAGCCCTATGCTGAATAGAATAAAGCCCATAAAAAAAGGTACATGCAATCTGATGCTGTAAATCCTTAGTAGAAATAAAAGTGTGGATGAATTTCTCATTAATATCCATAACATCCAATGAAACAACATTTGGTTTCCAGCCAACCCAAATTCTACCCTTAGGAGAGAAAGAATAATTGCAAGTCCACTCCCAAGCCTTGCCAATTAAAATTCTTTTTCACCGAGTCAAACTTATGAAGCTTTACTTTAGTTTCCAAAATAGCCATGACATTAATGGAGTGATCTCTAAGTAACTGCTTAACAACAGCCACTTTATTGGGATCATTAAGACCCCTAATATTCCATGCTGCAATGATCATGGCACCAGAGGGGGATTACCATCACCCCCGATAGGATTAGCAGCCTCCTCATCAGCCATTAAGGCATTATAAGCATTTGCCTTAGTAACAACATGTTGAAACTGCCTGACAATCTGAGTCTTAGTCTTTTTCCCCACCAACCTCCAACCATCATCAAAATTGACCAAAGGATCATGAGTAGGAGTAGTCATAGGAGAATTAGTAGTGTGAACCACCTCTTGATGAGTAGTTTTTGCCTGAGGAACAACAACTTGAGTTTTAGGCGCCGAAACTTGCTTTTGTTTTTGAACAACTTCTTTCTAAGCTAGGGCAGGGGCAGCCTGTTTGTGAGAAGCCTTAGAAACAGAAAAATCATGGCCAATGTCACATTTCTTGCAAAATGGAGGTTTCCATTCAAACTGAACCTTAAGCTCAACACTTTCACCTGTCGGACCTTCAACAAGAACATAATTAGGTAGGGCCTTAGTTACATCAACTTCAACAAGGATCCTAGCAAATGAGACCCTAAGTTTCCTTGAAGTGCATTCATCTGCACAGATAGGAACCCCTAGCAAGTTACCTATTTTGCTTAAGGTCTCAATACCCAAACAGTAATATGGTAGGTTTGGAAACTTAACCAACAAAGGTATTGTTCTAAGCACTTCAGAGTGGAAATCAAACTTTTCATTCCAAGGCTTAATAATAGCAGGCTTTCCATAAAACATATGAAGACTAGAGCATAACATAGTATTCACATCAGCAGCAGAATGTAAATTAATGAGTAAATAACTATCATCATGCCAGAATACCTCTGGCTTTCCAAAATCACCCAGTTCTGAGCTATGAATCTATGAACCGCAGAAATAGTAGGATAATATCCAACAACATAGAATATCACAACATTGCAGCACTTTTTATTACCTTCAAGTAAATCAGGAGAAATTATTTAGCAACAAGCTTACCTTCCTTAAGAATAGGAGCTACATAGGATAGAGAGACCCTTTTGCAGCAAGTTTCCCACGGAATGAGGTATCACTCTTTGAATCAGGGGCTACTAAACCGTCAGAATGTTCAGGTAGATCAGCATTTGGCATGGAAACATTCGAATTGTGAAAAGAAGTAGTATCGAGAACAAAATCCGATGAAACAGTAATTGCAGAAACCCTAGGTACTATTCTATTGAAATCCTTTGAAATCGAGCCAAAATTAAGATCCTAAGCTGCAGCAATGGTGTTTACATCACTTCGGGGCAACATTCCAACAGATGGATGAACTAAACCAGGAGTTAGAGTAACAAGTTCATCAACTTCATCAATCGAATATGAGTTGAAAGTAGACCCAGAATTCCTTCAACTTTCCAGAATCATATCAATCGGAGCAATATGAGTCTGTTTTACACCAGCTTGGGGGAGAGGAGCAGCTTGCTTCTTCTTTTTTGCCATTGTTAAAGATCTCAAGGAAGAAAACCATCAAAATCATAAAACCATGGAAGAGAGAGAAGAGAGAAACGGCAACGTAAAGTCAATGCCCCAATGTTAATGTGTTTCACTTTAATGTATTTTACTTTCATATGATTTAATATGCTTTGTTGGTTACATTTGACTTTTATTCAATTTAAAAAGCTTTGTTTGAATGTATTTGACTTTTATTTGACTAAAAAAAATTTCTTTAAATGTGTTCGACTTTCATTTGATTGAATTAACTTTGTTTGAATGTGTTTGACTTTCCTCTCATTTAAAAAAATTTGTTTGAATGTGTTTGGCTTTCATTTGATCAATGAGCTTCGTTGAAAGAATTTGACTTTCATCAATTTAAAAACCTTTGTTTGAATGGCTTTTACTATCATTTGATTCAAAAAGCTTTGTTTGAATGTATTTGACTTTCATTTGATTCAATTAGCTTTGATGAATGCATTTGAGTTTCATTTGATTCAAAAGGCTTTGTTTGAATGCGTTTGACTTTCACTTGATTCAAAAAGCTTTATTTAAATGCGTTTAATTTTCATTTGATTCATAAAGCTTTGTTTGAATGTGTTTGACTTTCGTTTGATTCAAAAACCTTTGTTTGATTGTGTTTGACTTCATTTGATTTTATTAGCTTCGTTGAATTCATTTGACTTTTATTAAATTTAAAAAGATTTCTTAGAATGTGTTTGACTTTCATTTAATGAAAAAAGCTTCGTTTAAATGTGTTTGATTTTTAATGATTTAATTAATTTTGTTTAAATGTGTTTAACTTTCCATTCATTCAAATATATTTTTTTTAGTGTCTTAGACTTTCATTTGATTCAATTAGTTTCGTTAAAAGCATTTGACTTTCATTCAATTAAAAACCTTTGTTTGAATGTGTTTGACTTCCATTTTATTTAATTAGCTTTGTTGCATGCAATTAATTTTCATTTGATTCAAAAAGCTTTGTTTAAATGTGTTTGACTTTCATTTGATTCAAAATCCTTGGTTAGATGTGTTTTGGGTGTTTTTGTCCCTCGGGAGAGTTACAACACGAAGACTGATCCGGTGCGGCCTGTACCTGCAAAACAAATGGAGACACCGGTTGGGTGGTGCTCCTTCTCCGACGAACAAGTTAGTAACCTGAAGGGAGAGAAAAAGGTGCAGAAGTTTAGGTGGGTATTTGCTCGGATTCCAAGCTCAGATGTCTCAATCACAGGGACAGTTTGTAATAAATGGTAAAACGTACCCTCCAAAAGAAGGGAATCTCCCTATTTATAGGGTCCTCAGGATTTGTGCCCCTGATTAGATCACTGAACCCTAATCATTGGTGGGTTGCGCCACATTGCGGCTTTCTCGAGATTTGGGCCTTAAGGCAGCCATTCCTCCCAGGTTTTTGGAGTGACACATGTCAAGAAGGGGTAGGTCCACCTTTGGCCATCCTGGGACTGACACGTGTCATCCTCTGATTGGACCACGTGGCGTGGTAAAATTACCCTGAACAGGATGTGTTTTACTTTCATTTGATTCCAAAAGCTTTGTTTGAATGCGTTTTACTTTCATTTGATTCAATTAGCTTCGTTGAATTCATTTGACTTTCATTTGATTAAAAAAGCTTTCTTTGAATGTGTTTCACTTTCATTTGATTGAATTAACTTTGTTTGCATGTGTTTGACTTTCATTTCATTCAAATAGATTTGTTTGAACGTGTTTGACTTTCATTTGATTCAATTAGCTTCGTTGAAAGCATTTGACTTTCATTTAATTCAAAAAGCTTTGTTTGAATGTGTTTGACTTTTATTTGATTCAAAAAGCTTTGTTTGAATGTTTTTGACTTTCATATGATTCAATTAGCTTCGTTAAAGTCATTTGACTTTCATTTGATTAAAAAAGCTTTGTTTGAATGTGTTTCACTTTCATTTTATTGAATGAAATTTGTTTGAATATGTTTGACTTTAATTTCATTTAAATAGATTTGTTACACGTGTTTGACTTTCATTTGATTCAATTTGCTTCGTTGAAAGCATTTGACTTTCATTTAATTTAAAAAGCTTTGTTTGAAAGTGTTTGACTTTCATTTTATTGTCTTAGCTTTGTTGAATGCATTTAACATTCATTCGATTCAAAATGCTTTGTTTGAATGTGTTTGACTTTCATTTGATTCATTCAGCCTTGTTTAATGTGTTTTACTTTTATTTGATTTAATTTGTTTCGTTGAATGCATTTGCCTTTCATTCAATTTAAAAAGCTTTGTTCAAATGTATTTAGTTTTCATTTGATCAATTAGCTTCGTTGAAAGTATTTAACTTTCATTCAATTTAAAAAGCTGTGTTTGAATGTGTTTGACTTTCATTTAATTCAAAAAGCTTTGTTTCAATGTGTTTCACTTTCATTTGATTCAATTAGCTTTTTTACATGCATTGGACTTTCATTTGATTCAAAATGCTTTGTTTGAATGTGTTTGACTTTTATTTAATTTAAAAAGCTTTGTTTGAATGTGTTTGAGTTTCATTTGATTCAAAAAGCTTTGTTTGAATGTGTTTGACTTTCATGTGGTTAAATTAGCTTCGTTGAACTCATTAGACTTTCTTTCGATTCAAAATGCTTTAATGTGTTTGACGTTCATTTGATTAAAACAGCCTTGTTTAAATATGTTTCACTTTCATTTGATTCAAAAAGCTTTGTTTAAATGAGTTTGATTTTTAATTGACTCTGTTTAGGGTAATTTTACCCCGCCACGTGGTCCAATCACACGTGTCAGCCTCAGGATGGCCCAAAGTGGACCAATCCCTGCTTGACACGTGTCACTCCAGAAATTAAGGGAAAAAGGCGGCCTTCAGGCCCAAATCCCGAGAAAGCCGCAAAGCGGCGCAACCCACCAATGATTAGGGTTCAGTGATCTAATCAGGGGCACAAATCCCAAAGACCCTATAAATAGGGAGATGTCCCTCTTTTTGAGGGCACGTTTTTACCATTAAATACACATTTTTTACTCTTTGATAGAGACATCCTGAGCTTGGAATCCGAGCAGAACCCCACCTAAATTTCCGCACCTTTTTCTCCTTTCAAGTTTCTAACTTGTGCGTCGGAGGCGGAGCACCACCCAACCGGTGTCTCCGTTTGTTTTGCAGGTACAACACACTCCGGATCAGTCTTCGTGTTGTAACTCTCCCAAGGACAAAAACACCCAAAACATTTGGCGCCGTCTGTGGGGAGAGTACCTCGAAGATGGTTCAAGAGTCTGTACCACCCCCTAACCGTCTGGGCGAAGACCCATAAATCTTTCCAGACCATGAGGATGAAGATCCTCAAGTCGAAACCTTTACAACCGAAGACGACTCTCTCAGAATCAAGCGCATCCGGCCTAGAGAGACTCTGGAGCGGGGTGCCTCCCAGGCGGGTGCAAGTAGACCCCCTGGGCAGCCGGAAGGGGAAACCTATACGGCAGCTAGATCAGCGCCTGTCACCCGAGACGAGCTCATGAGATTCATGACAAGTTTCAAGGGTGAAATTAAAGAGTTGATCACCCAGAGCCGGGCTGGCTTAAGAAGAGGTCAGTCGGCAAAGAAGACTCCTCTGGAAAAGGGGAAGTCAGTCAAAGATCGGCAGCCCACTCCTCATCCAAAGGAGAAGGCAGTCGGGACCATTAATTGGTCCAAAATTCTTTTTCCTAAGAGGAATAACAATAACTCCCGCCGGACTCAACAGTCGGTGAGAAGTAAGAAGTCATCTCTTGATGCCCGGGAGATCATCAACCGGAAGAG